ACTGGAGCTTTGGACCGGGTCGTGCCTTTGCAGCCTCTGACCCGGCGCCAGTCTCACCTGGCTCCTTGGTTCACCGAGGAGCTGAGGGAGATGAAGCGCCAGAAAAGAATTCCTGGAGAGCAGTTGGAGGGCCAGCCTTTCTGAATCTGACCGAACACTGGTAAGGTCTCATATTAGGACCTACCTAGTGGCAATAAAAGCGGCAACATGTAATTATTTTTCCGCTCTTATTGCATCATCAGATAATCGCCTGGCCGCCCTGTTTAGGGTGACCCGCTCCCTGCTCCACCAGGGAGTGCGGGAGGATCCCTTGGAGGGCAGGGCTGAGGACTTTGTGCAGTGTCTGTATGACAAAATCGCTCAGATTCGAGAAAACTTGGATTCTGACTGGGTAGATTCAGGAGGAATGATGGAGGCAGGTCTTGAGAATATTATCTGGGATTAGTTTGATCCTGTGACTCCCGAAGACGTGGACAGGATTCTGGGTAGACTGAGCGTGGCCACATGTTTATTGGACCCGTGTCCCTCCTGGTTGGTGCTGGCTTCCTGGGAGGTTACACGAGGCTGGCTCCAGGGGATTATTAATGCTTCATTGAGTGAGGGTGACTTTCCCACCGCCTTGAAAGAGGCGGTGGTGAGGCCTCTCCTCAAGAAGCCTTCCCTGGACTCGGCAGTGCTAGCGAATTATCATCCAGTCTCCAACCTTCGCTTTGTGGTGAAAGTTGTTGAGAGTGTGGTGGCGTGACAGCTTCCCCAGTACCTGGATGAAACGGTTTATCTAGATCCATTCCAGTTGGGCTTCAGGCCTGGGTACAACATGGAAATGGCATTGGTCGCGTTGGTTGATGATCTCTGGAGGGCTCGGGACAGGGGTTGTTCCTCTGTCCTGGTCCTATTAGACCTCTCAGCAGCTTTTGATACCATCAGCCATGGTATCATGCTGCACCTGTTGGAAGAGTTAGGGGTGGGGGGCACCATGTTTCAGTGGTTCACCTCCTTTCTCTACGACTGGTTGCAGTCTGTGTTGGCAGGGGGGCAGAGGTCGACCCCGATGCGCCTTGTATGTGGGGTACCACAGGGGTTGGTCCTCTCGCCCCTTCTGTTCAACATTTATGTGAAGCTACTGGGTGAGAATATCTGTGGTTTTGGGGTGAAGTATCATCAGTATGCTGATGATATTCAGCTGTACATCTCCACCCCGGACCACCCCAATGATGCCCTGGAAGTGATGTCCCGGTGCCTGGAGGCTGTGCGGATCTGGATGGGGAGAAACAGACTCAGGCTCAACCCATCCAAGACCGAGTGGCTGTGGTTTCCGGCATCCCGATATAGTCAGTTGGTGCCATCACTGACTATTGGGGGCGAGTCGCTGGCCCCCACGGAGGCGGCTCGCAACTTGGGTGTTCTCCTGGATTCACGGCTGTCTTTAGAAGAGCATTTGATGGCTGTGGCCGGGAGGACTTTCTATCAGGTCCGCCTGATTCGCCAGTTGCATCCCTTTCTGGATCGGGACTCCTTATGGAGTGCATGAGTCCCTTACGGTCACTCATGCCCTTGTCATCTCCCGCCTGGACTACTGTAATGATCTTTACATGGGGCTCCCTTTGAGGAGCTGCCAGAGGCTCCAACTGGTCCAGAATGTGGCCGCACGGGTGGTTATGGGAGCGACATGGTGTTCCCATGTAACACCTCTCTTGCGTGAGCTATACTGGCTCCTGGTGGTCTTCTGGGTGCGCTTCAAGGTCTTGGTTACCACCTTTAGAGTGCTCCATGGCTTAGGACCGGGGTATTTACGACGACGCCTTCTGCCACCAGTAGCCTCTCACCGGCCATACGCTCCCATAGAGAAGGGCTTCTCAGAGTGCCATCACCCAAACAGTGTCGACTGGCGGCCCCCAGGGGGAGAGCCTTCTCTGTGGGGGCACCTGCCATCTAGAACAAGCTCCCCCCGGAGATACGGAGGATCCCGGACTTACACACTTTCCACCGCGCCCTCAAGACCTTTTTATTTCAACAGGCTGGCCTGGCCTAACCTCCTTTTTAATTGTTAATTTTAAATTTGTTTTAAAATAATAGGGGTGTTTTAAATTGTTTGGGCCAAATTATTTAATGGGCTTTTATATTGTTTTTAAATTTTGTATTATGTGTGCTTTATCTTTTGGCTGTTCACCGCCCTGAGTCCTTTGGGAGTAGGGCGGTATATAAATTTAAACAATAAATAAATAAATAAAATTATTTTGTATGACTGTTGTCCAATGAAGATGGGTTACCACTGCATGAGAAGGACAAAGACAAGAGCATGCAACTAATTTACTGGAAAATAAGTGGAAGTCAGAAACTTCTCAGTCAATCCCAGTTTAAATGCTGGGATCAACCTATCTTATCTGCCATTAAATATTCAGTACACCTTTTTTAAAAGCATAGACTCTGTTTCTTCAATACTCTGAGAGAGATTTTCTGGATTCTGAACCTAAACTTCCCAGAGGATTGTTTGGTTAATTTTTATAATATATTTGGCCAGGTTGAAATGCTACTGGTTGCACCGGTTCGCGCAAATCGGCAGTAATAAAAGATACCGGTTCTCCTGTAAAAAAAAAAAGCTACCAGTTCATCCAAACTGGTATTTCCAACAACCAACTGTGCCGCACAATTTATATTTGCTAGAAAGCAGGAAATCCTGCTTTCTAGCAAATCTAAATCGCGCGGTAGATCTGTTCCTCCCCCTTGCTGTTCTACTTACATTCGTAAACCTCCTTTTTCCGTGCAAAGCACGTGTTTGGTGAGTGCTGCGTGTGCACAGGCAGCAAACCAGTGCCAAACTGCAGAGGATTACACCACTGATTTGCGAGAAACACACATATGAGCACACAATATGTATTTCCACTAAAAAAATTCCAGGACAGTAGTAAATTTTTTAACAGAAAAAGGCTGTTTTCTCATATTTATAAAAAGATTAGAATGCTTGCTATTCTCTGTTCTTTCAAAGCAAAATCCTAGTAAAATTTTAATGTGTAGTTTCTGAAAATTATAATAAGGAAAAGCACTGACAAAAGACAACTTCATGGAAGCAGATACTTGTTGTAAGATACTTTCTCATAGAATCATTGACAATTCAGTTGATTACACATGCAGAAATGAAAATATACATTTATTTTATATTTCAATTCCCCGGTCACTGATGGAAAATAAAAGGCTTGGGTTTGGAATCTTTATATCATGTTTGAATTACAGGAAGTACTGCACAGAATGTTTTTTTAATTCTGCTTTTTAAATTGTTATTTTCAGTTTTGATCTGGACATTGTTTTTAAAATTAGTTACTTGCTAACCTGCTACAAAGAAAAAATTCTTTGTGTTATATATGAGTTATAAAGAAATCAAGAGGGAAGTAGGAATGACTTTAAGTCTTGGCAAGATGGGACTAGAACTTAAGGTCTCCCAGTTTCTAGTCTGTTACCTTAACCACTACGCCAAACTGGTCTCATTGTATGCATACTCTTTTTCACATTTTATACACCACCTCTTTAAAATATTAGCTTCTATTGTTCACAACATAAAATACAATGTAATATTCCCTACAGCTTCAAGTATCAGCAGGCTTGGATCCAGTCCAACCTGAAAATTTAGAGATGTCTATGGCTCAATCTCCCAAAAATCCTAGCATATCTGGCCAAAAGCATATTACCTAAAAATTACCTAAGTTGTTTTCCAAACTCATCCAGAGAATGTAACACTGAAGACGGCTATTAACGGGAGTCTTTTCAAAAGATTGAAAAGATGAACAAATACTCATCCATTCTAAGATACTTTTGCAATATTTGAGCAGCAAGAACCAGTATGCAAAGCACATGCCCACTGAAATTAGTTTGACTTTCAAGTTCAGGGCCCCATCATCTAAGACAGTCATTCTAGACCTAGAGCAGAAATCTTTCCAGTTCAACATTCTGCCTTCCACAGGACTAATTCAGAAACAGGATGTAGTTGCCAATCCCTTTTCTTAATTCCCTAGCAGTTAAAAAGAGCTTTTATTTAAATCTAAAAGGAGCATGTCACAAATATGATTACTCATTGTTGGCTGATCTTTGCATGATGCAATGAATACAAATTGCAATTGTTCAAATTTCCCCATCTAATTAATGATTCAGTGTGTTGTGCAAACCCAAAACAAGGGTTTATTGACTAAGCAATGTTTCTATTACACATGGGTAAACATTTCATACAAACTGAGCCACTGGTAGCTGTATTCTCCATGATCTTTCTGTTCCTTTTTAAAAGGTATTTAAATGGTATCTTTTGGTGAAAAAAAAACATTTTAACAAAAAACAAAGTAAGTGTAACAACCCCCTACTAGACAACTTTTTATTTTAAAAACAAAACAAAGACAAAAAAGCAAGAAATCCTGTTGCTGAACATTTCAATCACATTGCTGTGTCACTGCAACCTCCTGCCCCTAACAATAGAGTGTGGTCTGCAGCTAAAAAATATCTGCCTGTCTCCACTCCACAAAGAAGCGGAGGGGCAAAATCCACAAAGAAAAGTATTTGGGCAAAATTAGTACCTAATATAAATACATGTTCACATAAATGTAGCATAAGGACATGCATTGCCCATGTAAGAACATTCTACGTAATATATCTTATAGAAGGAAGCATTATCTATATTGCTAAAATGCGCCCACTAAGCTAATTCTGGTTAATTCTGCAATTCATCCACAAAAATAGAAAGAAAAAGTAGTATTACAGATCATTTCTCTAGTTTTCATTTCACTGAAAATTGCCCTAATATAGCACTGTATTCCCAAAGTAGTAAAAATAAAATGCAAACAGTAATATATTTCAAGTTAGAGTGTTAAAAATACAATCTTATTATTTTAGTATATCAGATTTTCATTTAAAATTCTTCTGCATATGAATTTGTAGAATTAACAAACAACAAATTAAGCTTATGTGTCACACTAACTAGTTCCACAGATTCAGTGGGGCTCATTTCCAAATCCCCTTACCTGAATTTGGCATATTCTTGTGGCCTTCTATTCCAGGTACAGTTCTGTAGATTACCAACTATTTGCAAATAATAATCTTCAGAATATCTAAAAGAAAAAGAATTCAACACATAGCAAGGAAGCAGATGGTTATATTAACATTTCTTTCTCAACATCTGATGAAATAGATGTATAGCATTGAAAAGACAAGCTTGCTAAGAAAAACAAAACCTGGTCTCCATGGTAAGAGAAAAAGTAACCTATTGCAAAGTTTTATTTTCTTTGTGACTTGTATTTTATTTATTTACATTTATATAACTGCTCATCTCATAAGCAACTGACTCTGGACAGCATAGAACAAAATTAAAATAGAACTAAAAGCGTACCCACTATAGGATACACCTATAAAACAGGTGTATCCAACCCTTAGGCTTGCCTAGGCTGCATTAAATGAATTGTATATAATATAGTTAATGTATAAAACTGTTTCACCCCACTGTGATTGGCCTTTACCATTCATGCCATTAAGGAAGACATGCTGCAGATCCCATTAGCTCAATTATTCCAGCTGGTGGGGTCCAGAAGGAGGCCCTTTTTTGCTGTGTGCTTCTGCCCTCTAGAACATTTTGCCACCCAATGTGAGGTTGGCACCAACCCTCCTATCTTTTTGTGAGGGCCTAAAGATGTGACTTTGCCAGTCAGTTTGGGGATTCAGTGGGGAACAACAGAATGGAGGTGGTTGATTGAGAAATCCCACCTCTGCTCCATTCCACTCCCATCCTTCCCATGTGTATCTTTGGTTTTGATATTAACATTTTAGGTTTTTTGTTTTTTTTAAAATTTGATTTATATGCCGCCCTTCTCCGGGGACTCAGGGCGGCTTACAATGCGCTAAGCAATAGCCTTCATACTTTTGTATATTTATACAAAGTCAGCTTATTGCCCCCACAAACTGGGTCCTCATTTTACCTACCTTAGAAAGGATGGAAGGCTGAGTCAACCTTGAGCCTGGCGAGATTCGATCTTACAGTAATTGCAGACAGCTGGTGTTAATCACAATGCTATCAGTCTGCTGAGCTACCAGGCCCTTAGTTTTAACTACGATGTAACTGTAAGCCGCCCAGGGTTACCCTATGGGTAAGATGGGTGGCCTATAAAATTTATAAACAAACAAACAAACAAACGTGGCCCAAGGTTGGATATACCTGCTGTAAAACATACTAAAATTTTGCTAGAATGAAGGAATATATGCTAATATTTTTAATAGATGTAAATTCTGCAAATTGAAATGTACCAGCATAACATAGGAGAAAGACTATCTTAGACACAGGAATTAGGGAAATAATGCACTTATCATGTCTAGTAGAACATAATAAGAACTTCTAAAATAATTCAGCCAGTAATTATACAGGGCATGTTGTGAGGTACTTTGTGATGCCAGTTATATGGTTTAAGAGTTTGACCCTTTATTTATATACATGTACATACAAAGTTTTAGATGCTACTTACCTAAAGTCCAAGGCCTTTACAAAAATACTATCCAAATAAAAATACTGAATTTCTAAAAAAAACAACTCCAAAACAATTGAAGGCAGTTCTTTCACCATTCTCAACTGCTATCTATAGATTGTCCATGTCTTTGACTTGCTATACTTGTACAAAGGGCAGCCAAGGAAATAATAATTTATTTATTCATAGCAATTTAAAATTATGTTTCCTGTTTCACATCCAGAATAAGGGGCATGTATTCTACTTTACAGATACACCATAATTCTTAATTTAAGAATGATCAACCTCTATTTCAGAAGCAAGAAATCTTTTTGAGCTTGGATTTAATATAAATGGAATTAACACCGAGTTAACTGCATATCTTAATATGATTATTCCCTTTGAAGGAGCCCTGGTAGCGCAGCAGACTAAAGCACTGTTATTAACATCAGCTGCCTACAATTACTGCAAGTTCAAATCTCACCAGGCTCAAGGTTGACTCAGCCTTCCATCCTTTCTAATGTAGGTAAAATGAGGACCCAGACTGTGGGGGCAATAAGCTGACTTTGTATAAAATATACAAAAGTATGAAGGCTATTGCTTAACGCATTGTAAGCCGCCCTGAGTCTCCGGAGAAGGATGGCATATAAATCAAACGAAAAAAAAAAAAAAGAATTGGATGATTTCTGTCTTCCGTCAGGCACCCATGGACTTCATGGTTATATGAAAGCTTTCCCAATCAATCCTGAATGGGACATACATTTCACTGCACCAGAGAACATTCAGATTCACAGCCTAAATTCCTTCTAAAGAAAGATCTGGAAATCCTGCCTGAAACAGATTCTGAGACAGGGATCTTTTCCTATTTTTGTGCCAAAGATATTTTCTTGTTGTTGAATCAGGTCCTTAAAACATTAATGAGAAAGACAATCTCTGTGAAGGCAACATAGAATGGCACATTGCCTTGAATTTTCATTGATTTATTTCTTGGCGTCTTTCCACAAGCTTTTGTGTCCAAAGCTAGTGTTCTGAATACTTTTTTTTTAAATGAACATTTATCTGCTGAGACACATTTTCACAGAACATCACATTCATATGCAATGAGCCATCTAAAGGTTATAAAGATGGCGACAGAATAATTTGTTTTTCCTATAATAATGCATCTTGCATAGAGAGTTTGTTCAGATGTAAAAAAAAACAAATTTAGTGGGTTAGGGTTCAAAATTAGTTTTCTTTAGAGTAACTAGGCTGAAATCCATAAGCATATGTATGTTATTAGTATTATTAAGTCCCATATAATGTATTCCAACTAAGAGGAATTTACAGTACAACCTTTAAACTTCAATTGTTAGCATTTTAATGCCATACTCTCTGGAACAGCTGATATTTGTTTTGCTAAAACCCTGGGTAGCCACAGATTCTCTGTCTTTGAAATAAACTTCTATTTTCCTACTCAGATTCTACTATAGATTCAAAAATGGGGCCTAGTGTAACTTACTGCCAGCAATGGCTTGCACCGGGCCCAATTAGTCAATCACATAGAGTTGTAATTGTACTATAATTCAATAGAGTTCCTATAAATTTGGGAGATGAGAAAAACCTAATCCTGGTATAAATCATTATATGATTTAGCTTTTTTCATATAACCATTCATGCAAAAATCTCTATATTCTATCAATGAGAACTCTAAGCAGGACAAGGCTCGAATCACTTCCAGAACAATTCAAATGTTGGAAGAATTGAAAATGGGTAATCCTACTGTGCAATTTTAAGAGAAGGAGTAGAACTTCTGAAGCCCCAATCACAACTCCTATTCCCAAACAAATTTTGTAGCATGGATTAAAATACTGCTACATCTTTTAAGTCAGTGAAAAGCCAAAACAACAAGTAGCAGTAATGTTTCTGATCAGTTCTTTTCTTTCTGTCTTCACAGCCATGTTGGAGTATGAGAATCCAGTTATTATGCAGCCAGTAATGGTTCACCTAAAATGGCACACAAGTTGTGTCACTGAAGCCATTATAGATGTCATGGCAACTTCTGGTTGAACTTCCGGTGCCTTAAGAAATGAGGACTGCAAACTCTGCAGCCCCGTTCCAAGCTCTCCCTGTCAGGGCTTCATTCGAAGCCATAGCCACCCTGGAGGGGTGGTGAAGCAAAGGGGAACTCAACCTCTTGCAGGTTGAGGGGAGCCACATCTCCTCTTCCTGACTTGGAAAACCCCTTCATCCAAAGACTAGGAGCAGCAGCAGTCAAAATGGCTGCCATGAAGCCAGGGAACATCCACAAACCTTAAGTTTGTGCAGAGGAGAGAAACAGTGAATGATGTGTGGTCTGGGTGAGAAAAGATTTATTGCTGAAGCTTGACCCCCCTCAAAAAGTAAATTAATAATTTACTATTAATTGGAAATGAGAAGATATAGCTATGCGTAATAATAGTAGAATTATATGCAACAAGAAAACTAGAGTTTGAATGAGAAAATTAGAAAAAAGAATAGGAATATGTTGAATGCTTTAAATGATTGTGATTGATATTAGAAGTCACTATTGAGATATTAAATAATGGAAGAAAGAAAGGAACTTTAATATATAGAGAGAGGAAGAGTTAAATAATGGGAATATGAATAATAAAATGAATTATCATGTCTTTGAATATAATAATGTGAAAGGGGGAAAATGTTAAAGAAAGTTTAGAATGGAAGAGTGGTAAAGCAATGTATTAATAATATGGAATAAGGAAAATGGAATGTACTAATTATGAATATGTTTATTTGTATTGAATTGTATGATACTCAGATACCACACCATTCACATAATGATATGTATAAACTATACAAAAACTGATTAAAAATATGTCATGGCAAAGTGTGTAACTTCATTTCTTTATACTTGATTCAAGGACCAACAGAAATGGGACTACAATTAAAGGGGGGCTTATACTACTTGGCACACAACAGGCTTGCACCTTCCTCTTAAGTCTGTGGGATATGTTTCAAAGTTTGGAAGCATGCTTTCGATGGTTGAACAAAATGGCTGACATGAGAACGGAGTGCCAATTCTTAAAATGGTTGTCAGTTCAACCATTTGAAGATCTTCATGTCATCCTCTCATGTAAGAATTAGGTCGGTGTGTATTGAAAAAATAAGCAAACTACAACCATGCAGGACAAATACTAAGAAAATTACCACAGCATATCTATAAAAATAAAAATGTAAATGTCCATTTGTACATAACCGCACATCTCTGAAAGTTCTTCACTGATTGCTTTCAAATTTTGACACAACATTGCATCCGACTACAGGCGTGTTTTTATATACCTATATTATATACATGTCACACCTGTGACAGGTAAAAACATGAAAAACATTGGAAAACATTGAAAGACATTGAAAAACATTGAAAAACATTGCCATCTGCTGGACGTAAAACCAACATGGCAACCTCCCAGCCCTGATTACGCTCAACAGATTTCTGCTCCTTATATTTAGACTCTCCATATTGCTTCCAAGAAACTGCACATTTGGAAGGCAGAGATGCCCAAGGGCCATATCCTGCCACCAGGCTCGGCAGGTAGGCAGCCGGCTCCCCGCCGGGAAGCCCTCGTAGCTGGTGCTTCTAGGGC